GGGGGGGGCGCTGTCTTCCCGTCTTCCTCCTGCTTTTCCCTGTCCTTTGCTTCTGGGACAGCAGAGTGGGCCTGGCCAATCCAACCAGCTTTGGGAAAGGATTGCCCTGGGCATCTCTGTGGGGAGAGAGAGCTGGTCGCGGTTGTACATTAAATAAATTTTTATTTTGAGAGAATTATAGATTTATAAGCAGTTATAAGAAATAACACAAAGAGCTCTGTATCCTTTACTGGCTTTCCCTAGTGGTAACGACTTGCAAAACTGTAGGACAGTATCACAGGAGGGTACTAACTCCATCAATACAGTTGAGATACATGTATATCCATCCCCACCTTCTTATATTCCCACTCGCTTCCCTTCTTCCCACGTTTAACCCCTGGCAACCACCAGTGTGCTCTCCATTTCTATAATTTCGTCATTTCAAGGATGTTATATAAAGGGAATCATACAGTGTGTAACCTTTGGGGACTGGCTTTTTCCACACATCATGATTCTCTGGAGATTCCTACAGTAGTTCTTCCTTTTTATGCCTCCAGGCTCACAGTTGGTTAACTCTTCACCGCTGAGGGACATCTGGGTTTCCATTCTTTGGCTATTAGGAATAAAGCTGCTGTAAACATTCACGTACAGATTTTTATGTGAACATAAGTTTACACTTCTCTGAGATACGTGTTCAGGAGTGCAGTTGCTGGGTTGTATAGTGGCTGCATGCTTAGTTTTATAAGAAACTACCGAATCGTTTTTCAGAGTGGTTGTACCATTTTATATTCCCACCAGCCATGCACGAGAGATCCAGTTTCTCCTAGCCAGCCTTTGGTGGTGTCACTATTTCTTATTTTAGCCATGGTGATAGGTGTGTAGTGATACCTCGATGTGGTTTTAATTTGCATTTCTCTGATGGCCAGTGATGTTGAACATCTTTTCATGTGCTTATTTGCCGTCTGTATTTCTTCTTTGGTGAAACGTCTTTTCGTGTCTTTTGCCTATTTTCTAATTTTTTTTTAACTTTCGCATTTTGAGAATTCTTTATATACTCTAGATACTAGTCTTTTGTCAGATATGTGGCTTGCAGATATTTCTTCCAGTCTATAGCTTGTCTTTTCATCCTCTTAAGTAGGGTCTTTCACAGAACAAAAGCTTTCAGTTTTTCCTTTTATGGATCATGCTTTTGGTGTCAAATCTAAGAAAGTTCTTATGTTTGTGTGCTGTACATTTAAATCTGTGACCCACTTCGAGTTAGTTTCTGTATAAGCTGTGAACTCTAGGGGTTTTTTGTTTTGTTTTGTTTTGTTTTTGTCTTTTGCTTGTGAATGTCCAATAGCTCCAGCACATTTGTTGAAAATGCTGTCCTTCCCCCAGTGCATACTTTTTGCACCTTTGTCAGAAACTCTGTCTGGGTCTGTCTTGGGCTCTCTAGTTTGTCCCGTTGACCTGTGTGTCTGTCCCTCTGCCAATACCACAGTCTAGAGCAGCCCACCTATATTCGAACTCATGAAAGCGCTGCGTGTTGCTCCAGGCCCCGCTCAGCAGGTTTAGGGGGCGTTTCTGGCTGTCGGCAGCGGCCCCCAGCCTCCCACTGCAGTGTCACCATCCTGGGGGTTGTCCTTGCTGGGGACAGCCAGCCTTCCCTTGCCTGGCTCGGTGATTCTGGCTCCGAGGGCTGAGTCCAGGGGCTCCTGAGCCCTCTGGAGCCACCAGCCTCCTGCTTTCTTGGCCTTTGCTTCCTGGTTGGCATGTGGTCTGGGGCCCGACTCCTCTGGGAGGGGCGTCAGGAAGGAGAGCAGGGCCAGGCGTGAAGTGGGCAGGCACGCAGGCACGCCAGCTGCCTCACTCCTCTTGTCTGACCGGTCCGTCACCTTCCCTCCCAGCCCTGGCTCTGCTGCGATTCTGGGAACCACTCACCCCGGTGCTCTGTGGGAGACCTTGGGCCCAAGTCACAGCCCCCACTGTATCCCCCACCTGCGCTGGGGCCCTGGTCAGGGACTCGTCCCCTGTGTGCTGCCTTCAGGACTGTATTTGCAGAGGATGTGATGATATAATCCTGCCTCGCTTGGGCTGCCCTGACGGTGAGGTCCTGGTCAGCGCTCAGGAATGCGAGCCTTGGGGTTGGGTGGGTGGCACTGTGAGTGCTGAGGCGGCGGGATTGAGCCACCAGAAGTTAGCTTTCAGGTGGTGTGTGCGTGTGCGCGCGTGAGGCCTTGCAGCCCCTAAAAGGCAGTGGTGCTCTAGGATGGAACCTCGACCCAGAGAAGGCAGACAGGGGCCTCCACGGAGACCCCCAGAGAACGACAGCCAGCGTGCCTCTGTGGTTAGGCTGGGTGGAGGTGCTTGTGAGAGGTGGCCCTGGCAGTGCCAGCAAGGGCCCTCGGCCTGGTTGGTGAAGGGTTTGCTTGTGGAGGTGTTGGAGGCATTGGCAGCCGGGAGGAGCAGCTGGCTGCTGCCTCGCTTGTTTTCGGAGGTGCTAAGGGGAAGAGAGCCAGCCCCACAGAGTGGGAGGAAGCGGTGCCCCATCCCGGCACAGGCTCACAGGTTCCATGCGTGTCCCCCGGCCACGGCTGCTGTGTCCCCACTGGCCTCTTGCCATGTCTGTTGGGTGCCCACCAACCCTCCGCCCTTTGCTCTGTGTATGCGTCCCCGCCTTGTTGGGAGCTCACCGTGCGTGTCACCGCGATCTGTGGGGGTCAGTCTTCCCGCCTTGCCCCTGTGCACACGTTGCCCTTCTGCTGCTCTGGGGAGAAGCCCTGGGGCTGGGGGGCTGCCAGCCAGGGATGGGCTGCTGGCTCCACACCTAGTTCCTGGCAGGCGTCCCGCACCCCCTGCCTGGCCCCAGGCTGCAGGTTAGCTGACCTGGTGCCCCACCCCCACCTCCGGCATGCAGAGGCCCCTCCCCATAGTGGACAGGCCCCAGACCCTGAGCAGGTGACGCCTGCTGTCTGGCACTCCTAGGCCTCTGGCCTTGTCCACCCCCAGGCCTCGGGTGGGGTGGAGGCAGGGGATTCTGGCAGCTGGGTCCTGGATGTCCCCTGGCTTTTATGCGTATCCAGCCTTTCGTGTGGGGGAGGGAGAACGTGGAAAGTTTGGGGGATCAGAAAGTCTGCTTCCAGAACCGTTCCAGGGGCTCCAGGTGGCAGGGCCCAGCCAGAAAGGGTCAGTGCTGGCTTCCGGGCTGGGGCTGGGGAGGGCAAAGATCTGCCAGGGTGGGCAGTGCGGGTAGGGCCAATGCCGGGCTTCCCTGAGCCCCCTGAGCGGGCCCCCGGGTCCCGGTCTCACCTGCCCTACCCTTCATCAGTTGGAGCAGAGGAAGGACGGGGCTTGGTGCTGATAGGGGTCTCCCGGCAGCATCTCCACTGACTTCCTTCCCTCCTGTCCCAGCAGCCAGAGCATCTGAGTCCCACGTAAGCACCAGTGAGGGCTGCTTCCTGCCACCCACAGACCTGGCCTTTAGGCTGCTCCCAAGCCAATGAACCCCATGAACCCCATGAAACCTGCCCTGCCCCCCGCGCCACACAGGTGAGTGGGGTCTCCTGCTGCCCTCCCTGCTTGGGCCCCAGGACACGGGTGGGTGGTAGAGCGGGACCCCTCTGCTCCCAGCCTTCGCTTCTTCCCAGGCGGGGTTCTAGGCACCTACGGCCTCCTGACCGAGCCTCCCTGCCTGCCCCTCTCCTTGCAGTGATGGTCCATTCGCTTATGAGGCGGTGCCTTGGCAACAGAGTGCCACTCAGCCAGCAGGATCGCTGTCCGTGGTCACAACCGTGTGGGGAGTTGGCAACGCGGCACAAAGCCAGGTGAGCCCACACCTGGGCCCCGCCCCAAGGGGCGCCAGAGCCCCTCTCAGATCTCGGAGAAGTGGAGCCAGGGCTTCCTGAGTCTCCCACGTCCTCAGAGACCAGTTCTTCCACACGTGGCATGGGATCTCCTCCTCCTGTCTTCACCTGGCCTCCACACCCCACCTGTGAGCAGCTGCCCCCCCATTGGACCACCCTCCCCTCTGCCCCCACCTCCACCTCCTCACCTGCCCAGCCTCTCCTTTCCAGCACTTTAGAACCACGGCATGAAGCAAGTTGTTTGGATGGTGTCCTTTGGTGATTCTTGCTTCCTTGTAGGTTTTGGGGAACCCTATGGGCCCCGCAGGGAGCCCCCCCGGCAGCTCTGTGATGCCCGGCATGGCAGGCGGCAGCTCTGCCCTGAACTCCCCGCAGTGCCTGGGACAGCAGGCGTTCGGTGAGGGCGGTGCCAACAAGGGCTACGTGCAGCAAGGGGTGTACGGCCGCGGGGGCTACCCCGGGGGCCCCGGCTTCACCGCTGGGTAAGCAGGACCCCTCCCCTGGCAGGTGTGCTAGGAGCCCTCTGGGGGCGATGCTGCTAACTTGCTGGGCACCTGGGAGCTGTATGACACTGATGTGTTGAACGTTGCCTCTCTGCAGCTCCTGCCGGCTCCCAAGCTAACAAGGGGGGTGTGTGGGAAAGAATGGGGCTCCCCTCGGGTGCCATGTACCCCCCAGGAGATGGCAGGGGAGCGCCTCTGAGTGGAGCCTTCTGTTACAGGTACGCGAGCGGCCCGGGGGGGCCAGGGGGCCTGGGCCTCCCCTCACACGCCGCACGGCCCTCCACCGACTTCACTCAAGCAGCGGCGGCTGCTGCCGTGGCTGCTGCTGCCGCCACGGCCACGGCCACGGCCACAGCCACCGTGGCCGCCCTCCAGGAGAAGCAGAGCCAGGAGCTGAGCCAGTACGGAGCGGTGAGGCCCCGCAGCTCCTCCTGTGTGGCCCGTGTGCGTTGGTCCAGAGGGCAGGGACTTGTCAGGCAGCCAGGATTGAGGCCCTGGGGACACGCACGCTGTGTGCCGGGGCCGATGAAGATGAGGCGGGAAAGGAGTGGGGAGCTAAGGGGAGAAGACCCGGGCCGGGGGGGGGCGAGGGGGAGCCCGCCCGCAGGGGGTGGGCACAAGGCTGGCGCCCACAGCGCTGGGTAAGGCCTGGATGGTTCCTCTCTTCTCTTCCCAGATGGGGGCCGGACAGTCTTTTAACAGCCAGTTCCTGCAGCACGGCGGTCCCCGGGGGCCCAGTGTCCCCAGCAGCATGAACCCTGCCAGCGTGGGAGGGCTGATGGGCCCCTCCGGCATGAGCCCCATGGGCATGAACCCCACCCGGGCAGCGGGCCTGGCGCCCCTATATGCAGGGCAGCGCCTGCCCCAGCACGGGTACCCTGGGCCCCCCCAGGCCCAGCCCCTGCCCCGACAGGGCGTCAAGAGAGCCTACTCCAGTGAGGTGAGTGGTCAGGCCCCCCACCCCGAGCGCCCTCAGAGCCGTTGTGTGGAGGGAGAGCCGGCTGTGCCTGACAGGGTGGGTACCGCCCTCCCTCCCCGGGAACGGGCTTCCCCAACACCTCTTCTGGCCATTTTGCCTCTTTCCTCCTTCAGCTGTATCCCGGGCAGCAGTACCTGCCAGGAGGCCAGTACACGCCCGCCACCACCCAGTACGCGCCTGGCCCCGGGCAGCCCCCCGCCCTGTCCTCCTACCCTGGGCACAGGCTGCCCCTGCAGCAGGGTGCGGGCCAGTCCCTGTCCACCCCCAGCCCCGCGGGACTGCACTACAAGGTAGGGCCGCTCCTCCCGGGCCTCTGCAGCCCCTGCTGGCCCACGCCAAGCCCTGTGGGACACAGGCGGACCTTGAGGCAGCCGGGGCTGGCGAGTGGGCTCACGTGTGCTTGGGTGGCCGAGCAACCAGGAGCTTCCCGGGGGCCCTGATCAGCGTAGGGCAGCTTCTGGGAGGGGAGTCCAGGTACGAAAGGCCCCTCTGTGAGATTCAGTGTATGGAGCAGCAGGCAGGCACCCACGCCACCTGCGTGTCCTTTAGGGACAGTGTCCCCATCCCCTCTGCTTGCTGCAGAGAAGCCCAGCGAGGGGACAGGCCAGAGGGGCCAGGAGCTCGTGAGGGGAGGGGCCCGAGCGATAAGAGTGCCACTGGAGGGCGGAGAGGCGGTGTGTGTACCTGTGTCCTTTCAGCCTCTCTGTGGCTTCCTCGTAAACCCCTCTGATGTGTGGGATCAGCTCTTTTTCTGTAGTGGTCATTCTTAAAATTATGAAATCAGCACGTGCTCCCTGTAGATTATTTAGAAGACACAAAAAGTGTAGAAAGAAGAAAGAAGCCAACACCCGTGCGTGTGGTGGGCCCCCCTGTCCCCAGCCCTCTCGTAGGGTCAAGTCCAGGACCCTGTGAGCGCTCAGGGGCAGGCGGCAGTCCCAGGCACACGCGGTTTTCTCTCCTGCAGCCCGCAGAGCAGTTCAGCGGGCAGGGTGCCAGCTTCAACGGGGGGAGCGTCAGCTACAGCCAGCCCAGCCTGAGTGGGGTATGGGCGGCGGGGCAGGCGGGCAGGCGGGCGGGAGGCTCATGGGATGGGTACCTGGAGAGAGGGCGCCCAGGCAGGAGGAAGCGTGGACTCCCTGCCCGTTCCTGGTCTGACCGTTCCCATTGGGCACTCCAAGAACAAACTCTACCCCTACACCACTCCACCTTGACTGTTTGCTCAACCCCACAGCCCGCCCGTTCCATCCCCGGCTACCCCAGCTCCCCACTGCCAGGGAGCCCCACGCCGCCCATGACCCCCAGCAGCAGCATCCCCTACATGTCCACCAGCCAGGAGGTCAAGTCGCCCTTCCTGCCCGACCTCAAGCCCAGCGTGAGCAGCTTGCACCCGTCACCACCCGGTGAGTGAGGTCTGCTCTCCGGACAGATGGGCAGGGCTCCAGAGAGTCCTGCAGGGACCTTGGCGGGGGCGGGGGGGCCTTCACCTTCATTTTCTATTAATGGACCTCTTTGCAAATCCATTTGAAGCATCCATCTTCTCTGTAGAAAAATAGCCATGTGCACAAAGTTTTGTGTATGGTTTCAGGGGCCCTCTGAAGCCCACTTCTGGTTAAGAACTCCTGCTTTCCGGGAGACCACTGCAGCAGCAGTTGGCGGTCCTAAAACCCTAGCTTGAGCACTAGGGTGACAGCAGGTGGCCCATTCACACCTCTTCTGCCTCCTACCTCCTCTGAAAGCACCAGAAGCGCCATCTTTTTGGGTTGGTGGGGCATGTTCTCCGGTCATGATTCAGGGATCATTCTCGGGGCTCCTACTGGAGCAGGACAGAATGGCGGGACACCAAGATCTGTTCCCGTTGGAGGTGGAGGCCGAGCCCAGTGTCCCAGGAGAGATGCTGCCCAAGCCCCAGCCCCATGGAAGGGGAGGAGGGGCCACGGCCCCCGCGATGGGGCGGGGGCAGGCCACTCGGCCTGGTGGCCATCCTGCAGGTGGCCTGCTCACACCGGCATGGCCTGCTTCCAGGCAGCGGCCCCTGTGACGAGCTGCGGCTGACCTTCCCCGTGCGGGATGGGGTGGTCCTGGAGCCCTTCCGCCTGCAGCACAACCTGGCCGTGAGCAATCACGCTTTCCAGCTCCGTGACTCCGTCTACAAGACCCTGATGCTGAGGTGAGTGGGCGCCTGCCCCCAGCTTGCAGCCCCTCGCACTGCCCCCTCGCTCTCAGCATCCATCCTCCCCATGCAGGCCGGACCTGGAGCTGCAGTTCAAGTGCTACCACCACGAGGACCGGCAGATGAACACCAACTGGCCGGCCTCGGTGCAGGTCAGCGTCAACGCCACCCCGCTCACCATCGAGCGCGGCGACAACAAGACCTCCCACAAGCCCCTCTACCTGAAGCATGTGTGCCAGCCGGGCCGCAACACCATCCAGATCACCGTCACGGCCTGCTGCTGCGTGAGTGCCCTCCGCGGGGCTGGGTTGGGGGCGTCATGACTAAAGAAAAAGGCACTGGCTCTCCTCCTTCCCATCCTGGGCCTTGTAAGTAAAGGATCTCAAATGAAAACGCCCTTGCTGCTTTCGGGTTAGGTTCAGTGCCTGAATTTGATGCTCATGTGAAATATGTAAGGGAACTAGCTGAGCCTGCCTCTCTCCTGGAGGAAGCCCACAGGGTCCTGAGTCCCAGCTGACCCTGAGTCTTTGTTAAAGAGTCATTCAGGTTCCAGCAGGCTCCAGATCCAGGACTAGAAGAGGCAGGATGCACTTAGCTGCACAGCACTGATCAGCCCGGGTGGGAGGGGGCAGAGGCGGGCAGCCCCAATGCAGTTCTGGGATGTTTTCACTTGGACCGGCGTAGATAAATGTGGATGCTGTAGGCAGGGCATATTCAGGGGCCTCTCAGATAATTGTGTTTCGACAGAGAGGCCGTGGTTGGTGCAGACACACGGTGAGCTTTCCAGATAGGTGTGGGCCTGGTCTCCTGGGCTCCCCGGGAAGGGGCAGCAGGTGGCCTGCCTGTGCATTAGCCACAAGAGGAGAACGGGTCTGCACCGCACCTCCCCGGGCCACGTCCCGCTGACCGGGTCCTCCTGTTGCAGTCCCACCTCTTCGTGCTGCAGCTGGTGCACCGGCCGTCCGTCCGCTCGGTGCTGCAGGGTCTCCTCAAGAAGCGCCTCCTGCCTGCCGAGCACTGCATCACCAAGAGTGAGTGGCCCTTGCTTTCCTTGGCCCCAGGCAGCCGGCCCCATGACTGACAAGGCTGCCTTCTTGGGGGCGGGGGCGGGGGCTGCGTGCAGGGAGCAGCAGTCAGCCCCGGAACGCCCCTCGGAGGTGCTGAGCCAGCAGTGGCCGGGTCCCGCTTGGCGGCCCTCACCCATGTCCTCCTTTCCCCTGTCGATGTCAGTAAAGCGGAACTTCAGCAGCGGCACCATCCCTGGCACCCCTGGGCCCAACGGAGAGGACGGGGTGGAGCAGACGGCCATCAAGGTGTCTCTTAAGTGCCCCATCACCTTCCGCAGGATCCAGCTCCCTGCCCGAGGCCATGACTGTCGCCACATTCAGGTAGGTGGCCACTGCAGAGCTTTGCCAGAACTTCCGTTGCCCTTTAACTGTCTTCAGCGGGTGTGGCCTCTGAGCACCTCGGCTGGCAGGTGACAGGACAGGCCGGCCAGTGGGCAGGTGGCCTGGCTCCCCTGCCTTCTCCCCTCAGACTGGGCTTTTGTTTCTTCTAATATTATTCTAAGTATAACAGCCATTTTACTGCGTTTTCGGGGCTCGGATTTTAAACAGCATCCTGGATGCAGGGCGCTGTCCTCTCCCCGCCCTGCCCCCAGGAACAGCGCCTTTGTTTGTCTCTGCAGACAAGTACGTGCACACACACCCTCCACCACCACCACCACCACCCCCGCCCACCTTTTGGTTACATAAGCCGTAAACATCGCTCTGCATCATGTTTTTCCTCCACACCACGTCCTGGAAGTCATTCCCTGACTGGGCAAAGCTGCCCAGTTCTTGCTTTGGCCACACGTCATTCCCAGGGAGGGCTGCGTAGGCTGTCCCATCTCCTACATCTGTTAGGATGCCGTGGTAAAAGCCTGGGAGCCGAGCCTTCTCACACAGGCGGTAAATAAGCCCCAAGTTCCTGAAACCACAGAGCATGGCCGGATTGCCCCGGCCCCAGTGTGAGGAACTATCTCGCCCTTTCTCTGCAGTGCTTTGACCTGGAGTCCTATTTACAGCTCAACTGTGAGCGAGGGACCTGGAGGTGCCCCGTGTGCAAGTGAGTGTGTCAGAGACGGTCCCCACGGCTCTGGGGGCGGGTGGCACTTCCTCTGAGGCTGTTAATGGGCGTTTCCTTCCACAAGCCAGGTGTGGGGCTCACAGCACAGGCTAGGAGGGATGGAGTGGCTCAGGGCAGCGATGTCACGCAGGGTTACCTCACACCGGGGGCTGAGACATGACAGGGCCTATGCCCGGGAAGAGGTTGGGCCAGCCCTCTGAGCTGTGTGTCCCCTTGGTTTTCTACAGCAAGACGGCATTGCTGGAGGGCCTGGAGGTGGACCAGTACATGCTGGGCATCCTCATTTACATTCAGAAGTGAGTCTCCTTTCCTGCAACCCCAGTGTCTTTGGTCAGCAGAGGGCAGCCCTGGGACAGGTGGGGAGACACCCCATGCTGATCCAGCGTGGAGCGGGCTCGACTCCAGGCCGTGGACGGAATCCACATCCGACCCAGGCCCACAGCCCACAAGCACGTGGAACGTGCTGGGTGGCCACGAGCATTTGAGTGGGAGGTCTGCCTAAAAATGGCCCAGGGCCAGGAGAGGCAGCAGGACAGGTGGTGACCAGCCCTGCGTGTCTCCGCCCAGCTCTGACTACGAGGAGATCACCATCGACCCCACGTGCAGCTGGAAGCCAGTGCCTGTGAAGCCTGACGTGCATGTCAAGGAGGAGCCGGACGGGCCGGCATTGAAGCGCTGCCGCACTGTGAGCCCCGCCCACGTGCTCATGCCCAGCGTGATGGAGATGATCGCTGCCCTGGGCCCTGGGGCTGCGCCCTTCGCCCCCCTCCAGCCCCCCTCAGCCCCGGCCGCCGGCGATTACCCCAGCCAGGGTGAGTACAGGGGGCTTGCCCTAGAAACAGATGGCCCTGGGCAAATGATCCGTCCTCTCCCACCAGTCTGCCGCCTGTGGACGTGTCACTCCGAGGGCCGCGAGCCTGGGGGCCTGGTTGGGGACTTGGTGGCATAGGCGCAGCCTCGGCCAAGCTGGCAGGGATGGGCAGCAGGGCCTCCGGCTGCAGCTGCACGTACCTCCCCAGTAGTCTGGAACAAAGGTCTGTGCTGGCACACTTCCATGGACCGGCCCCGTCCGACCACGCGTGCGGGAGTGTCTGGGTGCGGTGGGTCCCATTCCTGTCCCCTCGCAGCCTCCTGGCAGTGTCATCAGCCAGTTCCCCCAGCAGCAATGAGAAGAAATGCCCTTTGCCGAATAGCAACTTCCATAAAGTCAGACGGTTATCTGGGTGAGCTCAGTGAGTCCTGCCCACGCTGTGGCTGGCCTGTTTCCGTGCTCTACCGGCATGAGCCCCCTGCCCTCACCTGGACCTGGCTCTCCTCTCTCAGGTTCCAGCTTCCTGGGACCCGGGACGTTCCCCGACTCCTTCCCGCCCACCACTCCCAGCACCCCGACCCTTACTGAGTTCACCCCGGGGCCACCCCCTGTCTCCTATCAATCCGACATTCCCAGCAGCCTCCTGACACCGGAGAAATCTGCCCCCTGCCTCCCAGGCCAGGTCAGTGCCAAGTCGGGGGGCTGAGGAGCTGTCCACCCAGAGAACCCCTGGGCCATTTTACTAGGTTCTTCTCTCCTCCTTCAGATGGCACCAGTGGGTCACCTGGACCCGGCCCATAACCCTGGGCCTCCGGGGCTGCATGCCCCCAACCTTGGAGGCCCCCCAGGGCCCCAGCTGCACCATCCAAACCCTCCCCCGGCATCCCGGCAGCCCCTGGGCCTGGTGAATTCGGGTCCCATCGGTGAGCTGGCCTTCAGTGCTGCCACAGGCATGATGGGGCCCCCCGTGTCTGGGGCAGGGGAGGCCCCGGAACCGGGCCTGGACGTGAGTACTGGGCCCCGTGCTGGGGAGCACTTGGAGCCGGGGCTGGGGTGTGGCTTATCTGTCATCCCAGGGTCCACATGCTTCATAGAAGGGAGGACAGTGATACCACCGTGACTTCCAGACGCAGGGAGAGCTGGTCGGGTGACGTCAGCGCTTTTGTTGACGAGTGTGAGGTATCCAGAGTAGCCCTAGTGGGGTGATTGTGTCCAGACATCTGGCCCTGGGAACCTGGGTGCCACCGTGGCATGGGCAGAGTCCCCGAGAAGACTTGGCTTGTAGCTGGTGACCCTGGCCTTAGGGTCTGATTTGACCTGTCTCACAGGTGGTATGTGAGCCAGAATCAGTGCAAAAAAAGACAGGTGACTGTCCCTTGACCATGATAAATGAATACAAAGTTCAACGTGAAAAAATGTAGGAAGCACAGCTCAAAGCAGAAAATCCCAGGGAGTGGGATCCCATCTTCCGCATTCGCCCTGTGCACGTCAGGGACCCCTCCCGGTCCTGGGTGTCCCATGCTGTCCTTGAACAGCTCGTCACAAGTGACTCCTGGTCACAGAGCAGGCTGAGGGGCTCCAGTGCCAGCCTGTGTCGGGGTGAGGGGTGTGCCGCATCCTGGCTGGGGACCCAGGCCCAAAGCTGGCGGGTTTGCTTTGTCCTCAGCTGCTCCCAGAACTGACTAACCCTGATGAGCTGCTGTCCTACCTGGGCCCACCCGACCTCCCCACAAACAGCAATGATGACCTGCTGTCTCTCTTCGAGAACAACTGATCCTGTCGACCACCTGGCCGACGGGGACATGCCCGCAGATGTCACACACCCTCCTCTCCAGCCCGGCCCCCCCGATACCAGCGGCCCTCCCCACACGTACACCTGGAGCCGGGATGTGCCCCGATGCCTGGCCCTGGAGGCGGCCCTGCACTGGCTGGGAGGGGACCCCTGGGCGGTGGTGCTCGCTGGCCCAGTTTGCAGCTGCAGAACTGTTTTTGATGAGATTCCCCAGCCCCGCCCTTGTTCCTGCCCCGGCCCCATCCGCACCCCACCCATGCTTGTCCAGCCCTGCCTGGTTCATGCACACCTGCCGCCCCTGGCCCCTCAGCCTCGCCCCAGGCGCCCCGACCCCTGCCTGCTCTCACCGGCCTGCATCTCATCCAGCGTTGACCTTTTTTACTTCAATGACCCCTTGGCCCTGGGCCGGTGAGGAGCGGGGCTGCTCTGTCCTGGGGCCCCGTCTCGTCCAGCCTCCTGTGGCAGGGGCTGGGGTCATCCCTCCTCCCACCTGAGGCTTCAGGCTGACACTGGGGGTGGGGCCTCTACAGCACAACAGTGTACGTAGCGTAGAACCGCTGACAGCTGTAGGGTGGCTGGACCTCTGTGCAGCCGGGGCCTCCTGCCCTGGCCACGTGCAGACGGGGAGGGGTGGGCGGCAGCAAACTCCCTCCTGCTGGAGGCGGGGCTCGGACTCGGCTCCCCCAAGTTCCCCTTCTCTGTGAAAGTGAAGAATTGGTTTCGCTGTGTTTTTTAAAACCACACCTCTCCCGTGTCCACCCTGGGGCCACGCCAGGTTGGGGGAGGAGCCGCCACACTGCAGGTGCAGGGCCAAGCTGTGTCCCCTGTCCGCCCATCTCTATTAAAGGACTCCCTCGTGGTGGACCTGGCGAGTCCCTCCTTCCTGCTCCACCTGCGTCCCACGCTTGGGCGGGGCTCCCTGCTCCAAGCCAAGGCCCAGCTGTTTGCAACCCAGGGTAAATTTCCTTGTCCCTGGAATTTCCCAAGTTGGCTTTGGCAGGAGAGCTGTTTGGTGAAGTGTCACCAGGGCTGGGAGATGCATCTGCCACCACGTCACTGTGTGGGCTTGCCTCAGGCAGGGAGCCAGCTATGGGGCCAGAGGCCTCAGGAGGGGCCGGACCGAGTCCCTTCGTCTGTGTGCTAGCTGCCCGAGCCTCCCCAAGGGTCTTCCTGTCCAGCAGAAAAGGCTTATGTGTCCTGTGGGGGAGGAGGGAGGACGCCCCGGGACACCTGCCGCGGGGGGAGCGTCTGGTGTGGGCGGGCTCCACGTTGCCCGCTGACATTTTGGAACCACAGGTGTGGGCCTTCCTGTCCCTCTGCAACCTTGCTTCTGGCTTTTCTGGCTGAGGGAACGGAAGTGGAGAGAGGCTGAGGGAGGAACAGCGCCTCCAGTGCTACAGGGAGCAAAGAGGCAGGCCCCGGGGTTTACCCAGAAGCCCAGACCCAGCAGAGCCCACCCCCAGGGGGTGGGGTGCGCCTTTCTGGGGGCTATTAGGCACAGCTGGGAGCGCTGTCCCACTGTGTGGGGCAGCTCAGCACCCTTGGCCTGTGACGTGCTGGGTGGAGTGGAGAGATTGGGAGATGGGCTGCTCGGACTATACCCACAGAGAGGTGGGGAAAGGTCTGAGGGATGCCCCAGCCCCGACGTCACCGTGGCCACCTCAAACAGTGCGGGATGAAAGCAAGGTGTGGGAGTTCACGCGGTGTGATGCCGTTTTTATAAAGCGCAACATCAGGTCTACATTTCATGGGATCTGCACACGTGCAACAGGAAGGAAAGCAAGGTGGTCAACACAGTGGCCACAGTGCTCCCTGTGGGGACAGCACAGGGGTGCATCTGGGGAGAGTGACAGTGTCAGTGGTGTTCTGACCCTCGAGGGGAGCGGTGGTTTCACGGGTTTTCACCTTATGCTTCGTGTTACATATCCTTACAAACGTACCAAATATGCAACTTAAAAAGCTAACTTGGCCTGACAGACAGACACACAGAACACCCAACAACAGCAGAGTACACGTTATTTTTAAGTGTGTGTGGGACGTTCTCCAGGAGAGACCACACGTTAGGCCACAAAACAAGCCTCAATAAATTACAAAGATTGAAATCATACAAAGTACCTACTCTGACCATAGTGGAATGAAGCTAGATAAGGAAAACGAAAACTCACAAATGTGTGTAAATGAACACTCTTCAACAGTCAGAGGGTCAAAGGAGAAATCACAAATAAATTACAAGATGAAACACTACACACCAAAATCTAAAACACAATGAAAGCAGTGGTAAAGAGGGAAATTTATAGCTGTAAACGTCTACATTTAAAAAGAGGGACTGGGCTTCCCTGGTGGCGCAGTGGTTGAGAGTCTGCCTGCCGATGCAGGGGACACGGGTTCGTGCCCCGGTCCGGGAAGATCCCACGTGCCGCGGAGCGGCTGGGCCCGTGAGCCATGGCCGCTGAGCCTGCGCGTCCGGAGCCTGTGCTCCGCAAAGGGAGAGGCCACAACAGTGAGAGGCCTGCGTACCAGGAAAAAAAAAAAAAAAGAGGGACTTCCCTGGTGGTCCAGTGGCTAGGACTCCATGCTCCCAGTGCAGGGGGCTAAGGTTGGATCCCTGGTCAGGGAACTAGATCCCACGTGCTGTGGCTGGGAGTTCACATGCCCAAGTAAAGATTCTGCATGCCGCAACTAAGACCCAGCACAGCCGAATGAATGAATGAATACTACAAAAAAAGTAGCAAAAAAGAACTCAGTTAACCTAACTAGGACTGAAGGCAGTAGAAAAAAGAAACTAAGTCCAGAGCTTGCAGAAGGAAAGAAATAACTATTAAACAGAGGGAATAGGAAGAAAATAGAGAATCAACATAAGCAAAAGTTGTTTCTTTGAAAAGCAACAGAATGAGCAAAGCTTTAAGCTAGATTGACTAAAGGAAAAGAAACAAATGACTAAAATCTGAAATGAAACTTGGGGAAATTACTACTGACCTTAAAAGGATAAGAGAATACTATGAACAATCGTGCACCAACAAATTAGATAACTTAGATGAAATGGACTAATTCTGAGAAATACAAATTACCAAAACTGACCCAACAAGAAACGGAAAATATGAACAGACCTACAAGTAAGGAGATTGAATCAATAATCCAACCTCCCCCAACACAGAAAAGTCTGGGACCAGATGCCTTCATGGGTGAATCCTACCATTTAAGGCTTATACCAATCTTTATCCCACCCTTGTAAACACTGCAGAGGAGGGAATACTTCCCGAGTGTTTCTTCTCGGCAGCTCCCTGCCAGCAGCACTGCCATGTTCCTGGCCTTCTCTCGCTCCAGGCTCGGTGGCCTGTGTCCTCTCCCTGCAGCAAGGGGCTGCCACCCCTGCCCCCTTAGCTCTACCCCCTGCAGCCCTGTCCTCCTTAACAAGCTTTCAAGCTTGGGTGGCCCCTGAGACCATTCATCCTGCCTGCCACGGGGTCTATGAGAGAAGCAAGGACATCAGGGCAATGGTTGGAGGGAGAAGTCTCTAGACAGGATCAAGGGAGTGTTTCATGGGCCCAGGGACAGCTGAAGCCTTATTTCTTTTCTTTTCTTTACTGTTTACCTTTTGTGTTGGGAGTCACTGGCCACTGGCCTGATCCACTTTTTTAAGCTGACATACAGAACTGAGTTCTGTAAGGTCATACACCTGTGGAACGGCTGTCCAGGTGAAGACAGGTTTCCACCATTCCCCCCACCCCCTCAGCTACTGCTGTTCTGGCCCCTATCACCAGAGGTGAATTTGGCCTGGTCTTGAACCTGATATAAGTGAATCATAGGTCTGCACGCCTGGGTTAACTGACCCTTAAAGCTCATGTTTTTATTTTCATTTAACTGTAAGTTGTTCCTAGTTATGACTAGCAGTGATTAACACCGCTCCCCAGCCTCCGACACCCAACTCTTTCTGGCCAGGGTGCTCCTCTGCTGAAACCCTCTCCATGGGGTGTTAGCCACGACCCAGGTTGCAAGTGACCATGACCCACTCGGGACCATTTTGGGGCAACTTATGGACAAAAAGACCAAAAAAAACCCCAACTGCCACTTCTGAAGAGCCAGGAGCAAAAACGGTGTCAGAAGCAAAAGCAGGGTATTGTGCATGCGCCCTGCGCACAGCACCACCAAAGGGGTGGGCAAACCACCTAAGCTTGACCCCTGGACACACCCCTACCCTCACCCCATGTAAGGAACCAGCTTGGCCCTGCCTGGGGGAGCGAGCAAGAGAACCTCTTACTTGTTCTCTCTGCCCCCTGCTGCAGCAGGGGCCCCAGTAAAGCCTTGCCTGAATTTCTTGTCTGGCCTCTGGTCAATTTCTATTGATCGGGGAAGGCCACGAACCCTGGTCACTATCAGGGACAGCTGGACATGGGCAGGCACACACCCCATGATGGCATTTCTCCCCTTTCTGAAAGGTTTGTTCTCCAGACCTGAGCTTCCAAGCCTGGCTCAAGTTGACTCACCACAGAAAGGCACTGACTCACCACAGAAAGGCACTTGCTTTCCGGTCTGGCTCTGGTTGGCTCAGCTAGGGGGGCCCCCGTGACTAGAGTGGGATCATGAGCGCTTCCTGAGACAGGGGTCAGTTTTCAGAAGGGGCTGCAAGTGGCCCCCAGATGCCCCAGGATGAGGTCCACATTCCTTAGCCCAAAGCCAGGCCAGCCTGGCCTCACCTCCTCCAGCCAGGCTTCCCGGCCACAGAAATCAGCACCTCTGCCTCCCCACTCCCCACCCCGTCTGAAGATTTCCAGGTTTCTCAGTGTCTTACCCTAGCTCAGGCTTTGGTTGAACTGCCCCTTCCCCAGGGAGCTCTCTGTTTCCAGAATGAGTCGGAGCCTCTTGCTCTGGCCATGGTTCACCTGTGGGTTGCTGTCATGGTCCCCATTGTAGCAGATCAATTACAGACAATTAAATAGTTTATCTTTGTGAAGTTAAAAAATAGTACAGTGAACATCCACACCACCTTTGGATTCACCAACTGTCAATATTTTGCCCTGTTTCTTTAC